AGGCACAGCACCAAATTCTTTGAGAAGAATCTCAGCCACCAATGGAACCAAATCCCTCACACGAACACTTTCTTATAAATCTCACCCAAATCCTATTCGTCCTCCAACGTACACATCAGCTCCCTTGACTGGCTTCCCGTTATCTCCACGTGTCAAGCATCCCATGAATCCGATATCCGCCACTTGGACCTGTCCGCAAGTGTTGGGACATCCTGTCCAATGCATCCTCACAGGCTTTGGCACAGCTACAAGTCTCTCCACTTCTTCTGTCACTTTTAAAGCTCTTAGCTTGGTCTTGCCCACAGAACTGGTTTCCGGTACAAGCAACTAAAGCCTTTCATCAAGATAGATGGCTCGGGCGAGAACCGGTTCTTGAGAAACGGCTCTTGAAGCAAAGCTTCGGTTTTTGAGCTGTCCACATTTGGGATGATGATGTTTTGCTCTACGGTGAGTCTGAGCTCGCCGGAGCCGTAGGTGTCAGCTAACCGAGCAAGCTCGTCCCTGTCATCTGCTTGTAGCCTACCAACCGGAACGTGAAGGCCCACATAGCTAAGACCTTCTTGTTTCTGAGGGTGGACTCCGAAATAGTCTCTCCTCTCCCATTGTTTCTTCACAAGATCCTCTGAAGATCCTCTCTCGAGTTTCCCGTTTGGCAATCTCTTCTCTACTTCAGCTCTAAACTGTTCAACACCCTTTACATTTTTTGCAGATGAATCAACAATCAATAACTTCGATACGCGGTTTTTCTAAGTAAAGTTTGCAAGAAGAGTGTACTTACAAGCAGGGCAACATCATTCTTGTCAAACTCCTAATATCCACGGTTAGAGATCAGGTGAGAGAGAGATCTTACTGTCGAAAGGTCTTATGGGCATGGCTTTGACGGAGGGAGAAATCGCTCGAGCTGCGAGATGAAACTTGCAGACCAAGGAGAAAAGCCAAATTAGGGTTACGTGCATCCCCTGTTACGAGTTGGGCTTTAGTTCTTATTCTGTTACGGTTTCGACCATTAGACCAAGAGGCTATCACTTTGTATTGGTTTTTTTGTAAGAGTTTGCTTGAATATATTGGAAACGTTTACATCGAGTATGATAATTGATGAGAAACTCATCTAATACAGTAATTGACTACCAGCAAGGAAGGAGAGAGTTTTCGATTTGGATACTGCCACTAACAGCAGCTTGCGAAAGATCCTCGAAGGAGGTAACGACAGGTCACTGTGAAAGCGTCGATTTCTTTCAACCCAAATTTCATAAACACAAGCATGCCAACCTTGAAGTAGAGGGCTAGAGATAGTTCCTTGTTTGTTCAAACTCTAGGCAGCCAGTGAAGAATATCATCCCAAGATGATGGAGGAGTAGAAGAAAGTAG